GTCTCGCTACCCCAAAACGGGCCGCTTTCAGGCGCCGCTTTTTTTGTTATTTATTTATTGAAGTGGGTGCCAGATACCTGACGGTGTCATGCAGCGGGTGAACGCGTGCGGTGTTAATTGGGGTTGCCATGGGAGGCACGCACGTAGTATCGATAAGCGCCCCGCTCGCCACGTGATGCGGCTTTGTATTCCGCCAGCCGCCTTGCTGGGTTCTGTGCTTCTGCATGTTGTCGTGTGGTGCGTTAAAGGTAAAAATATCTGCTGTCTCAGGGTGTCATTTCCCTAGCTGGAACGATGTATGAGTGCATACGGAGCCGTGGGGAAAAGATCTCGCTAACCATAGGAGAAGTAAATGCATGCATGTGCGTGTGTAATAGAGATTCGCCATAATAAGGGCAATCAAAAAAATATACTCGCCTTTTGCTACACAAAATAGTGTTTTCTGTGGTGGAACAGCGCTGGGTTGACGCCTTGGTGGCCTTATTTTGCCTTTGGGTATTGGTGCTGATTAGTGGAAAATCCTTCCGTGGTGCATCCAGACGGAGAACTGCTTTCCCCAGCCCTGGTCTGCCTCCCAAAATGAAACATTTTCTTTAAAAACCACTTTTAGATACTTTTTCAAAAGCAAGAATCGCCCTTCGCGTCTTACCGTTTGCTTGCTGTGTTGCAGATAAAGGACGGAAGCGTCGGCCGGGCTTCGCCGCAAACCCCACAGAGCCTGCGAGGGGCACTGAAGCAGAAAGCAAAGCCGAGACAAAGCAGCGTCCCACCTTGGCACTGGGGGGCAGGAAACAGCCACTGGCCGCCGCTGGTTTTACTGATGCTTCAGTCAAGCTCCTTGTGCGATGTGGAATTACAGATGGCTCAGGAAGCGCAAGTTCTTTCCAGGTCTGTGGGGTGAATAAAAATTGTTAACTCTTGCCTTGATTTGTCATCTTTTGGGGGAGAAAAAAAAAAAGTGATGGCTGACTGGCAATTAAATAGTCGTGCTATTAGACCAAGCGCAAGCTGGAGTGGGCCGTCCCAGAGGCGAGAGTGACACGGCCAGCGGAGCCGAGGAGAAGCTCGTTCACCTTCACGTCTACCTGGGATTCCTCAGAGAGGTGATAAAGTGAGTAAGGAGACAATGTGGGAGTTATAAAGCGGACGCGATAGCTCCAGCAGAACTTCTCTTCGTTGCCACATCCGCTTGTTAAAAAGCGACTAATGTTGTTTTGAAAACAATTTGAGGAATAAAATGCACTTTAAGCATCTCTGCAGTTCTGGTGTCTGAAGCATCCGTCAAGAAAATCATATAACAGAAACAAAGGAGAGCAAAGATGGCGAAGGCAGCCAAGGAAATTCAAATGGAGAACCCAAGAGAGGTGGAGACTCAGAGCACAGGGGCGGCGTGCTCCCCGTCGGAGGAACAGGCAGAAAAACCCTCCATGCTCTGTTTTAAGAAGCGGAAGAAGTCCTGTAAGAAGGGGCTGACCGTGAAGGATGCGTGCGAGGGAGCCTCAGAGGAGAAAAGCCAACGTGTCAGCGCTGACCGAGGGGAGGAGAAAGCTCCTGATCAACCGCGCTCCTCCAGAGGAGCCTGGGCAGCCATCAAAAACCTGGCAAGACCTCGGAGAAGGCAAAAACCCTCCTCGCGGAAGCAGGCGCCGTGTGATTCCCAAGTGCAGCTGGAGACGGATGCTGAGGAGGGCGGCGCACAAGGCGTCCCGAAAAAACGGGCGAGTTCTGGGGTGAAGATGCCCTGCGTGCGGTTCTCCAGAGGCAAGAAAAAACCCAGCCCTGGTGAAGCGGTGGAGGAGTCGGACGGTGGTGTTCAAGCAAACGAGGTGGCGGGCATTTTGAACAAAGCTAGTGAAGAGCCAGAGGATTTGGCCCCGACGGACAAGTCTGAGTCCTTCAGCCCGGTGTCTGCAGAGGAGGACCAGGGTACGGCGAAGGAAAGCACTGACTCTGCTGGGAAGAGCGAGCCCTTGACAGAGCCCGCACCTGAGCCAGATGGACGTACGGAGAGCACCGCTCAGCTGGAGATAACCGATTCGGAGACGGGTAATGAAACAGCCCAGGAAAAACGCCAGGGGGGGAGCCTGCCCCAAACCCCCATCCACGCGGAAGGCGGGGAAGCTGCTCCTGAAGCGCCCGTTTCCAAGGGTCAACCCAACTGCGCCCCTGAAACCACCGAGGTGCCGGAAATCCCCAGTATCCATACAGAGCTGCCTGGAGGGGGTGAAGCCAGAAAGGGCATAAATCTTCCTGAGGAGTGCAAGGCCGAAGAGACGGTCGTGGATTTGAGTCAGCCGGCGTTGAAAGACGATGCAGCGAGCGTGCAGGGCTGCTCCAGCCATCAGGTGACGTCAGAAGCAAACGCGGGCGTTGGCGGGGGCATCGGCGTCGGCATCGTCATCACCGTCACTGAAGCTGAGGACTCCGACCACACCGACTCTGACCAGGCCTACGAGCCGTCCCCGGTTTTGCACCGAAATAAGCAAAAAGGGAATAAAAAATCAAGCGGGAGCTTTGATTTTGGTAAAAAAGAGGGCCCGGAGGCTGGCGGCGGTCCCGCGGCGGAGGAGAAGGGTGCCGGTGACCAGGGGCACAGAACTGGGGAGCAGTACGAATTGCTCCTCGTAGAAACGGCGTCTTCCCTCGTGAAGGCGGCCATTCAGTCGTCCATAGAGCAGCTGGTCAGCGAAATGGCCCTGGAACAGAATAAACACAACAGCTTTCTGTGACGGCAGCAATCCCCCTAAAATAAAGAGTACAGGGAGTGATTTAAAGCTCCATTTGGCCACGGGGCCGGGGGGAAAATCTCGAAGGGCTCCCGGGGCCGAGGTGTAGTTCATTCTGCATGCCCGTTCAGTTGTGTGTCTGTGTGAAACGGATCCTGGGATGTGGGGCAGAGCCTGCGACGTGCACCGTGTCCCCCGGGGCTGGGGCTTCCAACAGCGCCGTCGGCCACGGCTGCAGAAAAATGCGGGTGCCGCAGCGACTGTGTTTTCATTTATTGGCATCCCTGCGTCGAGGCCGTGTTTCTGCCCTCCTCCGTGCTGGGTTTCCCTGCTCTTCATCCGTGTGTTTAGTGAAAGGTCCCGAGAGGCGGCGAGCGCCCGACCCGCTGCTGGGCTGGATTCGGGGCACATCGGACGCGGCTGGAGCTTGTCCTGGGGTTCGGCGGAGACAAGGGAGCGTGAAGTGACTGCGGCACTGGCACGAAGACGTCAGTGCCAGACAGGCTCAGGCCAGTGTTTGGTATTGCAAACAGGTACTTGCTGCGTACAGATGCCAGAAGCCACGGTCACCCCTGCTGTCTCGTCGCACGAAGCCGGAGGGTTGCGGCGAGCGGCGTTTTTCATTCGGCCTCTTC